GCTTTGAATGCGGAAGAAGATTTCGTGTGAAAAGAAAGGTTCGGTGGATGAGGTGCGATGTGAGGTGGTTGTCCCAAGCAAGTTAATGGTGAATCAGAGACAAAAAGATGAGGTCAGTTGATTGGTTGTTTAACATTCGGTGCCTGCCTACCCTCCTGCCCTTGAACTCCGGACTTCAAGAGAGATGCAGATGAGGCGAGTAGGAGATATCAACTGGAGAGAGACTCCTCACCCTCTTCGCACACGTAATTCGCGTTCCCAATTGGTTCGCGCCTCTCTCCTTCAAAAGTCCACTTATTACAAACACAACCCCGAGGACGATCTCACACTGCGAGGCCTCTGCTCCTGACCGCTTGCCTGTTCAGCGTGGCGACTACCTCAGCACCTCTTCGGTGATAAGATTACAGTAGGAAAAAACGAGTAGTTCTGAACCGACTCCCGACCTCTTCAATTCGACTACAACCCAATCATTTTAAGGGTTTTTAGGCGCATTTAGTGAATGGCATTTCTTTAATTGCGTCGATCCAGACTATTGTGACCGCCTCCGTCCTGCCCTTTTTTACTTGGCTCATTAGCCCTTGATCTTTCCCTTAAACTCCGTTTTTATTGCTGCCGATGGTCTACCACTGACTAACTACCCCGTCGGTTTCCATCCAGCAGATTTGCAATTTGAATAACCTCTCTGCAGAGCTGAACAGACCAGTAGAAGGAAGAGCAGGAGCAGAAAAAGGAGGAGGAGGAGGAAGAAGAAGTAGTAGTAGTCGAATGTTCTTGCTGAACCCTTTGACAAGACGCAATGACAGGCTTGGAAGGTTCAAGCGTCCATTATTCATCCACAGTACAGTAGTCTGTCCATCAATGTTTAGGCTGTTTTTTTTAAATTGTTCAAGTTTGTGCGGAAACACCACGGCAGATGTAAAATTGGTGCTATTCATATGTCTAGAAAAATGGGATAGGAGATAACAACAGACAAATGCATTCCTTTCTTTCTTTCTTGTTTTTAAGCCCGATTCTCCTCTGCCATTAATCAAACTCGACCTCAGATAGACACACACCGGTATGCGCCTACAGAGGACAGCATCACGTAGTCTAAAAGGCGAAATGACAACTACACGAAGGCCTACTTCCTTATTTCCAGCTTTTACTGCTCCCAGGTTGTAAAGTGGGTACATCGTTTTTTGCAGCCCAAACCAGACTTTCTAGCCTTTTACCTCCATTTACTGGCGAAGGGGTAAAAGCGGGTTGCGTGGGCAGTTTTGCCGATTCAAATTCCCAAACGGTGGACATCAAGATGCTCTCCCTTTTTTTATCGAAGGCTTTTACAGTACTTACTTTTATAGACACTTCACTTCAGTCAACCAATTTTTCATGCATTGGAGAACGCATTCTTTAAAAAAAAATGGGCTAAACTGGCTGCTCTGCCTGACCGGAGAAAGTGTATCATCGCCTCCTCAGCATCGGATGCCTAGGGGAGCAGGAAGTACCCAGCGGTATCGTCAAGTTGCGTTTTTCCTTAAGGTTTTGGATAGACAAACACTGGCATCTGACTGGAGTAAATAAACTAGGGAGATAAGGCAATCTTCTACCGGAAGAGTCGGACTACCTCCTTCCCCCTCTCCCCTTCCTCCACACGTGCACAAATGTTCCCAAGTTAGCTATTGTAAAAGAAAACTAGACGCGGTGGTGTTTTTATCAAACGTCAAAGGCTTGTAAGTGGAAAATGCGTCAATAAAAACTGTGATGTGGTAGATAAGGTACTCTGCTACCGGAGCATTGCCATTGCCGTGTGAATCAACAGAACGCGTTGATTGCGCATAGTCTTACAACTTGTTCGTATGAGATGACTGATGGGAAGAGAGACACTCTGTTTATCATGGGATACGATAGAGTTGCTTTTCATAGACTTTTAAAACTACAACTGTCATGCGCTTGACGCTCAGGGTTGAAAATGAGGCAAATTAGAATGGCATGCAGATTGCATCCTCCGTTGGTAGCTGATTAGCCAATCAGCGCACGGCTCAAGAGACCACCAATAGAGGCGGTCTTGCCATAATGTTCAAAGGCATTCAATGTATCGGAGACCTTTGATCAGTGATTAGAGAACGACACAGAAACATCCCACTTGGCTGAATTGGGGTGTGCAGTTGGCTTAAGAAAATGGTCTTTGTTAGGAAAACGAAGGAGGGAAGTGGGTCTAAAAGATGGTTTATGCTGAGGATGAATGTATCGATATGTAGCAAAGGTAAAACTAAGTCACCTTGAAGACAAACTGATGCCGAAACACATCCACTTAAAATAATGCTCTAGTTATGCATCCAAAAGTGGTTAGCTATGCATCAAGCCTCGCGACTCCATTGCCCAAATGTCCATATCCTTCAATTGAAAGGCTCATTGAGTTTAGCAGCGATTCACCTTAACTGCAAGCAGCTTATATGGTCCCAACGGGGAGAGATACTTAGGAAGTAAGGAAGGAAGGAAGGAAAACAGCTGGAAATCAGCATCCGTCACTTGTAGGCGGTAGTCAAGTGAAAACTCTCAAAGCTAGGATGCCCCTAACCAGTAACGGTGCCCTTGTGTATCCATGTTTTTGCCCTGGATTTCGGAAGATAGAGTCACATACGCGTAGCAGGTGTCGGTATCCCTCTTGCAGGGTGGTCCCCATAATTAATGAGACTAGACGCCGGAGCAGGGGACCGCCGACGTCAGTGCTTCCATGGCGCCGTCTCAGACGGCTGCGCAAATATCGTTTCACCCCTGCCTCTACTGTCCCACATAAATAATTTTTTAGCCACGAATTCATGAGGTTAGAAGTTTTCTGTCACCATGCCATTCGAGCTACAGTGACTCAGCTTCAGTGATTAAAAACCGGCTTCGCTACTCAATTTTTAAGAGTTGTAAATATTTAAACTGAGTTAAGGAAAAAGTTCGCAATCTCTAGACTGATAGTTCCTTCAGTACTGAGCATCAAAGCCTTAAAAATCAACTGTGTCTCATAAGATACAAATAGGAGAATGAGATATTTGTAAAATTACTGTCTAATATATCCATTTGGCTGGTTTTAAAGGAGGTTGTTTACTCATTAAACGTCCATTTTGAAGTTGAAGTGCTCACTTGTTGCCATAGTATGCCGATAGACAAAAAGTTCTGCATGATTCTTTAAAAAACTGGGTACATTTATCAGTAATTTCATTAACTGGACTAACTTATACTGTAAGCACTAGGCCGTCTCAAAACTGATTGGTTAGCCACCCTCCAATGAAAGAACTGCTCGAATTATTGATCTTGTTTTGCACCAATGAGGGGTTAGTAAAAGACGCTGATTGGCATTTCAAGAACAAATAAGTAAATTAAAAGGAACTTTTAGTGAAAAACTGGCCTAACCATCAGTTCTATACTCCTTTCTTATCAGCTATTACTCACAACACAAATGGAGACGGATTGCCTATGGTACTAGCTTCGACCAATTAAGTAGCAGTTGGCCTTACATATCAAGAGAAAAAACTTTTGGATTTAATGGACTCAGAAATCACAGAATTCGACTATCTTTTCTCTTAAGAAGGAATATGCAAAATTCAGCAACGTATACTGGTGGAGATGGGATGATGATAACCTGAGGGGTCAAATCGCATCTGGTATCTCTTCTTCACCACTGCTAGGGGGTGCCCTCGCCTCGACCCTAAGGCGAGGAATGGCAGGAGAACAAAGACAAGGTGATCGGTCTGAAGGTCATTAATTTCCACCACTAAAAGATCACCAAAAAACACAATGAGTGAGGATCCAAAAGCAATTTTGTATGATTTACAAATTTCCTATAAAAACAATGCTCCTATTGGAAGGTCTTCCATGCACTTCACTGGTAATTAAAAAAGTGCTTCCTTAAGGGAAGCAATCTGCTGTCTTTTTACCAACTGATCATTTTCATGCTTTATTAGTGTGGAGGTAGGTAAACATGCCGAGACTTTGCTGTAGTGGACTTCTTTCAATTGCTTCTCCAACATTTATGACTTATTTGTGGCAAGACGCAGTTTTGAAGGCCCATGGCCACTCACCACTTTGTTTCTCACTGCAAAGTTGGTTGTCGAGATGGCACCAAAGTGCTTTAATAAATACACCTTCTTCCGATCTTAATGTTACTAAGGTTTTTGCCTGGACGATACAACCACCTCCATCTTGACGTGTCAAATGTGTTTTTAGATAAAATCGCAATTCACGGTGTACCGCCTCACATCAACTCATTGAATTAAGAAAATAACCTCAAGAACTGTCATTTAAGAGTGGATATCCGTGACCTCAACACACACCCTTCAGACTGGTCATTATTCCATAAATTCATTGATTTTACTCCATTCTATTTGCCTCGCACCTCTGCTTCATCAGCGAAGGTGATCCAAGGCCGCCAACATTAAAACATCCGCTGCGTTGTGCCAACGTCCAGTAGTAAACCAGTCACAACATCCGCCTTGATGTGTGCATGATCTCCACCTCTCACTCACGCTTTCAAATATCCCAAGTCCCGAGGGCAGATGTGATGGGCTTCACCTCATCCACTTCCATTCAACCACACAAATGTGAGTGCTCCACCTAATGGCTGAGATGTACCATCCACTTTGTGTTTACGGTTCTGACACCTGCATCACATCTCACTGTCAAGGGAGGAGATGGTGCGATCTTTTACCAAATATCAAAGGTGTACGGAAAAGCATCTACTCAGCCAAATCCACACAAAAACAGATCCATTAATCAATCTATTGTAGTTGTTAGTCAATAGGGCGTAACGGCGATGGTAAAGACGAGGAGGAGGAGGAGGAGGAGGAGGAGGAGGAGGAGATTTTTATACGCTATTGATGTATCAGCTAACAGCATCCTTTTGTGCACAAAGTACAAAAGGTAAATACCATGAAAATAAAAATCATGAGCTGTGTTTTCGGTCGCGGTAGTCTCACCTCCTCCTCCTCCTCCTCGTCCCACCTTTCGACCCTAATATCTCTTCAATTAGGCAAATGAAGAAGGGCATGGCTTCAGAGGTGTTGGCAGTGATGCCACCAATCGATCGTCATGAGGTGTGTGAGGGCTCCAAGTCCACCCATGTGGTGTCATTTTGACACCCGCTTAAAATCCACCTGTATTTAAACAACCTAAACAGTGTGATGATCCCCTCACCTGTCAAGAGCCCTCGATTTGCGTGTCTCAAAGAGCCTTCAAATAGGCTTTTCACCACCTCCACTCACCGTTTTAATTAGCCCTCTCGTCTCCCTTTTTTTCCTAACCACTAATTTATCCGCCAAATCTTTCCGTTCACTGTCTCACCAAGGTGAGTTAATGTGGTCCAAAAATTTGGCACTCACTAGCTTCTTCAATCCTTCTGCACTGCTTGACGACTTTGGTGATGAATCACTCGGTGATAGGCAGATGCAATGCATTTTACTTGGACTCTCAACTCCAAGTCTCCATTCAAAGTGCTTGTTAAATGTCAGCATTGACCAACTACTACGTCAAGATCAAATGTCCCCAACGGTTGATGCTGAGGAGAAGTGGAGGATGAAGTTGCACACACATCAACACCAATAACAGTCAAGAGACAATTCGGTTAAAGGTATCGCAATTCAGGTGCCACTCCTCCAATCTACTTGACTGTCACATTGGAGACGAAACAGTCTGCTGAAGTGAATGCATTTCAACAACGTTCCTTTCATTCCGGTCTTGCATTGTCATCATGACAGGAATGCTCTTAACTCACTTGTGACCCCAAGGAAGATGGGCAACTTGTCTGTGATTGTAAAAGCTAATGACTCTAATTTTTAACAAAATGGCAGAGGATTAGTTACACAAATTCACAAACTGTCCAACTCATAATTGCCTTTAGGGGAAACACAAGAATTTAAAAAAATATACTCTCAAAATTGGACAATGCCTCCCTCCATTCTGTGCCTGTCCCCCGTCGCTCCTCCACCTAACAGACAGGTTCAGTCATTCATAACGTGTGACATTTAGGCAGGGCATTCAACCCATGGAACCTGAACTGCTGATCTCTTAAATCAGGTTTGACCACCTCTGACACCAACGCAGCACTGAATGCCATCACTGCAGACGTAAATAACTCATCGCCAGTCTAGCCGAATGGCGTACTGCCAATGGACCAATTGACTGTTGAAAACATAGAAATGCCACCAACATCCACAGAGAAATGGGAACAGTGGATATTTTAAAATTAGCATAAATAAATACACATAATAGATTCATTGGTCTAAAATGAGGCGTCCTAGACGGTTGAATTTGCATTAAACTTAGTGACCCACCTAGTCTGTTTAAACTTCCCACCATTCACCCATCATCCAGTGTGTCTCCCACTCTCCCCTCCCTTCCCCAATTTGTTGCTCCACTTCAGAGACGCATAAAGACTGGGAGGCAGGTGGTTGGAATTGAGTTTCACCCGCAGGGGTGCCACCTCATTTGTCATGACCACCTGTCTAGCGAGGTCCTCTTGCGACCTAGAACTAACCAATCGGATATCGAGGAGGCGTTTTAGGTTCACATTTCCTCCTTTTGAGTGTTTTTTATCATTTTACTCCCAGATCATGGCATTTAAAGTGCTAGTGAAGTCCTACAAGAAGTCATGAAGAAGATATCTTCCAACTGTCAAGTTATGTTGCTTTTGTGCGTTACAAAGTCTCGATTGTGTGTCTATTTGCTCCACACTCTTCCACACAGTTGAACTACTCGCACCACTAAAAGCTTATCAAAATGCTGATTATGCCTTTTAATGCTCACATGAAAGTAAAAATTATAATTAAAAAAAAATCTTATAACTTATTGTCCCATAACTTGCTTATCACATAGAGGAGGCGGATGAACAGAGTGTCAAAAGTTGGTACCCCGAAAGAGTTTAAGCTCTACCGTACTGCTTGACAATTTGGTGATGAATCACTCAAAGGTAGACAGATGCATCGTGTTCGGGGAGACCTTCAAATCCGATTCTCCATTAGAAGTGGCAGTACGTGTCACCACTGGCAGGTCAAAATGAGACTGACTAATGCAGCAAGAACTACTTTCTTGGCATCGGTAAACGAATTCTAGCTAGTCCTTAAACGTAGATGAAGGCTTTTTGGGTTGTTACTTTCTTACTTTAGTCGATGAGGAGGAGGAGGAGGAGGAGAAGGAGAAAGAGAAGGAGAAGGAGAAAGAGAAGGAGAAGGTGAAGGAGAAGGAGAAAGAGAAGGAGGAGGAGGAGGAGGAGGAGGAGGAGGAGGAGGAGACAATAGACAAACAAGGATCAAGGCGTTATTGCAAACAAGGAATCAAGGAAAGCAAGTTTGCTTATAATCTTTTTTTACCCCTTTTTTTTCACTTTTCCACTTTATTTAGCGCCACCCTGCTGTTGAGATTGTCATTGATGCACAAATGCAATCTTCCCTCCATCCAGTGTTTACCTCACCCCGATAAGTGCTCTGTTGTTGTGCTGTGGTGGTCCCGGATCCATTCCCACCAGTAAACATCCATGATTTTCAAGGTCAAAGTGTGTGTTTATCAAAGCCTTTATTTCCACACGGCATGTTGTCACTACCTTTGCTATCTCCTACCTCGAGTGACAAAATCAAGTTAAATTGAGCTGAAATGCACTCCCCTTAATAAAAAAAGCATCTCCATCAAAATTGTTAAGTGGAGAAGGTTGGCTGTGTTTTAAAGGTTCACTATAGTTGACACTTCCGGTCAGTGTCACGAGGTGTAAAATTAGAGGAGGGAATGCGCCACTGGCTGGTAAATACCGACCGGTCTGATGACAGAAATGAGGTGACAAAAAGCGGGTAGAAAGGAAGACCTACTCATTCTGGTGATCTAAAAATGGGACTTTCTCGCACGTGCCAACTCTGCCTTGCCGTCTATTTCTCACCCGCACACCTCCCTCCCTCCCTCCCTCCCTCTCGTCCTTCGTCCCCACCTCTCTTCTCTTACCTTCCCTTCCCTTCCCTCCTATCGGCTTGGCTGTCTGTCTGGTTGTGTTTGCATTTTTTATCGCGGTATTTGGACAGTCAGAGGGTGTCTAGGAGCAAATTTAATGTCGTGACGTTTTCGCATGTGAAAAATAATGATAGACTACCTTACGTGTATCACTTGTCTCTCTATCCCAATGGAAGAGGAACGTGTCTCAGCCATTGTTGTAGCAATTTTGGCAGTCTACTTAGAGGTTCCAAAGTGGACGATAAACAATAACTGTAGCATTTAAGTTAATTTTTCAAAAAAATGATCTTTTGTTTATTTTTGTCTAATCTACACCACCTCCTCCTGCTCCTCCTGTCAATAGTTGTAGAGTGCAACTAGTGGCCGTCTGGAGGGTCCACCTTACCTCCTCAGTTCACCTCTCGACTGATGGAACATGTTTAAATGGACTCGTCTGATCAGGTACAAGCGGAATAATATGCCGACAGAAGTCTCGTTTTCCTTCAAAAACGAAAAGCCACGGAGATCTCTTCCAGAGCCTCGTAGAGAGGAGAAGAAGGCGGAGGAGGAGGAGGAAGGAAAATTAGCGCCAAGTCACCGTTCCCGCCTACTCAGCAGTAGGTGAAAAGCTGACACAACCTGTCTGGTTTCCACTCTTGTACGCACTTCCATTTTAACGCAGGCCGTAGACAACTTGATTTTTGTCCTGAAATTAAGCACAACGAGAATGGGAACCCCATGTAATATCGAAGGGGCGTTTTTGGAGTTGCAGGTACTGTGGGTATTGATGAACTCTTTGAGGAAAGACCGATTTATTAAACACTACTTTTGCAGTTTTGACGATATTTTTACACATGCCCAACTGAACAAATGCTACATCAGTTGTGGTCAGTTGTCAGGTCGCTTAATTGCTACTGAGCGCCGATTTTTGTTATCCGCCTTGTATATGTTTATAATGTGATCATTTTAGGAAGATTAATTAACAGCTTGATGGGTCAAGAGATCATTGCGCCACTTCGGTCCACTGACAATTACCTACATGATAGGGCAAAACTCTGAACTTTCCCAATGCACGTTGACAGGTGTCAAGTGTGAGCTATCACAGGAGAGGCTCCTTACTTATGCGAACTATACTAAGCGTTTCAGTACACAAATCAAAGGGAGGAGGAGAGGGTGGTGACGACGGTGGTGGTGGTGGTGTCCAATCCGATCAAGAGGTTGAGTCAATTGGCTGCTTTGGCAGTGTTTGAATTGAATTTCCCGCCTTTCATCCGCAAGGCGTATTTTTAAACAACTTAGCTGTATTACATTTGGGAATGGGTGATGGTTAGTGAGTGAAATGAAGTACTGCCAAATACAAAAATAGTTCTTTAAGTGTTTTTAATCAATTCCAAATAGGTAAGCCACTAGCCAATGAAATTTGAATATTTTTTTCTCCACTAACGGACCAAATCACCCAATATTGATAGGTGATAGTGGCATATTGCATCCCAAGAACCTATTGATGGTTTGATGACAGCGGTCAGCCTAACAAATCTAACTCTAGCTTCCACTTCCAGTGAATCGAGTGTCACACATACCGTCTGCTTGCAACTCATCCAAAGACGGTGATTGGCTTGGTTAAGGAGAGGTTTTCTACCTACCAAAATAGAGTTTTTAAGAAATATTTTATTCTACTTTGCTTGATAATTACAAGAAGCGGATTAGGGTTGAGTCTAGACATACACTTTGACAGTTCAGACGAACTTTGAAGTAGGTATTTCTGGCAATTCAAAAGGCGTATGATTTTCTTTGGAGGCCCGCACTTACCATCGATAGAGTCAACAGTGCTACATTTGTTTAACAAAAAATAAACTTGGTTTT